TCTAGGGTTCCAGAAACCCCCTATTTTGGCCAGGCTGGCTCATCTAAAGTCCCCTAGAACCTCTTACTTCCCTCAGACTCACAGAGGGTGAGGTTCCATTTTCCAGTATACTGACACAGGGAGCAAGGCCTGGGAGAATTCCTTACTCCCAAAGAACCCCAGTTGGAAAGCATATCTTTGCTTTTCCTCCCTCCCTCCCTTCCCTTCATGTGTGTGTCTGTGTGTGTGTGTCTGTGTGTGTCTCTCTGTGTGTGTGGTTGAAATGGGATTGAAATCAGGGCCTTGCATGTTCTCAGTAAGGGCTCCAAGCCATGCTTGAGAGACCAGGCTGGCCTCAAACTCAGAGATTCGCCTGCCTCTGCCTCCTGAGTGTTGGGATTAAAGGCCTGTGACACCACCAACTGGCTTCTCTTTTCCTTTTTTATTTTAAGAAGGATCTCACTAAGTTGCCCTAGTTGCCTTTGTTTTTTTGTTTGTTTGTTTGTTTTCTTTTTCGAGACAGGGTTTCTCTGTGTAGCCCTGGCTGTCCTGGAACTCACTCTACAGACCAGGCTGGCCTCGAACTCAGAAATCCTCCTGCCTCTGACTCCCAAGTGCTGGGATTAAAGGGGTGCGCCACTGCCTGTCCCCTAGTTGCCTTTGAACTTACTCTAAAGTCCAGGCATCTCTTGAATAAACATGTGATCTTCCTCCCTCAGTCTCCCGAGTGGCTAAGATGCTGGATGTGTGGCCTCAGGGCCAGCACCAAGCTTTCTCTACCTTAGGTCTGCTCTCTGTGTGAGGGGGATGTGCTCCTGGGCTAACAGGATTTGAGTCCGTGCCCTTGGGGTTCAGAGGTCTCCTGCTGATTTACCGGTTCTCACTGACTTTCTGAAGGATAGATGAGACTGTCACCTGTCATTGCTGGCTCAGGTTGTATTTTGATGGCTCCACAGGCCTCTGAAGACAGTGTTGTCTGGCTGGCAGCTCTCCAAACTCCACCAAGCCATGTGGCCAGATTAAAAATAAATGTCGCTGTGGCTATTCTGTGGTCAGGATGCATCTGCTGTCCTGGGGTGTTTCAGGGAAGCTAGGTACTCCTGATGGTTGTGTGGCCCAAGTGTCACCCTGCTACACATCAGGGGGAATCTGGGCCTCCAGCCCTCTCCTCTTCCCTCCTAGTGCTGGTGAGGGCTGACTACAGAAATTGTGAACCTCACTGGATGGGATCCAAACACAGGGAATTCCATTGTTCTGGCTGCGGCCCCAGCATCTGGGGGCTGGGCCCAGGCTGGACATGTACAGCTGGCTTCGGGCTTTCTCCCACTGGTTGCAGGTCTCAGGACTTCTCAGGAGCCTCAGCACAACCACCTCCCTTCCTAGAGGGATAACCCCCGGAGGAGGCCTGACCTCAGTCCCTGGGTCCTCTGTTTCCAATGTTTCTTCGGGGTACTCCCTCCCAGTACTCAGTCTTCAGAGTTGACTCCACATACAGTCTTTTTCTTTTCCCCCAAGACAGGGTTTCTCTGCATAGCCTGGGCTCTCCTGGAACTTGCTCTGTAGACCAGACTGGTCTCGAACTCAGAGATCTACCTGTCTCTGTCTGCCCCCAAGTGCTGTGATTAAAGGCGTGTGCCACCATACTCAGCTCACAGAGACTTTTTATTCCTACCTTTAAAAATATGGAACAGGCAGTATTTGTACATACGTACATTTGTGTGCAAGCTCATTCACCTACATATATGGGTACAGAGGCCAAAGGTCAACTCATGTCACCTCCTCTATCATTTCCACGTTTCTTTTGAGATGAGGGTCTCTCACCTAACTTGGAGCTCACCAATTGGCTGGACCATGCCGGGCCTGTATGCAAGTGTTAATGGGGCTTCACACTCAGGTCCTCACGTTTCCCAGTAAGCACTTTACGCAAGGAGTGATCGCCCCAGCCCCTTAGCCCTGTCTTTGGCTCACAAACCCTACTGAAGGGAGAGAGAGAGAGAGAGAGAGAGAGAGAGAGAGAGGAAAGGAGGGTGGAGTGAGGGGGAAAGAGGCAGGTGGATCTCCGCCTCCTTTTCTAGGTAAGGTCTTACAATTTAGCAGACTTCAAATTTGCTACATGTGCCAGGCTTCAAACTCGTGACCAGCTGTCCAGGTGTGTGCCTTCATACCTGGCGTTTGCATAATATCTTTTGGGGAACACAATTTGTCTGTCATTATGAGTTATTATATAATGCACAGGCATTGTGGCCTTATCGTAAGGAAATCTCCTATTTGATGCAGCATCTGGTGAAGGGCTGGTGAGGGAGGGTGGGTGGCCTGATACCAATCCTTGGTGGTTCCTGACTGACGGTGATTCTCTGGTTTTTCCAGACAATGGTGGGACTTGGGCCTCAGTTCCTCTTCCTAGAGAGTGGTCAAAAGTCCAGCTTCCAGACATCGTTGTACTTGGATGGGCAGGAAGAACAATGACAGCTCTGAGCAGACAGTGCTAGCCAAGCTGGGCAGGGTGGAGGGCCTTCCTTCCTGCCCTGTGCCCACAGCCACTACTTGGCATTCCCTCCTTTAACTCCCATTCTCCCTGGAGACAGGCTGCCAATTTCCCAAGGTTCCTCTCTGCAGTAACTCTCTGAGCAGCATTAGGGTGGGGTCTCAGCTCCCCCAGTGACTCGCTGTCCGTCCTGTTCCACCCTGTGTATTAGGGAACCTTTTCTCTTACATTGAAAACATTTTTTTCTGTGTGCATTGGTCTTTTGCCTGCACGCATGCTGGTGTGAGGACGTCGGATTCTCTGGAACCGAAGCTACAGACAGTTGTGAGCTGCCATGTGTGTGCTGGGGATTGAACCCTGAGTCCTCTGGAAGAACAGCCAGTGCTTGCAACTGCTGAGCCATCTCTCCAGCCCCTACAATTAAATTTTTACTCTGTGCACAGTGCACACTTGATGGCCAGAGGAAGAACTTGTGGAATCTCTCGTGGACCATGTGGAGGATGGCGTTGAACTCAGGTCCTCAAGCTTGGCCACAAGCCCCTTACCTGCTCACCCCTCCCCCTGCTTTTTCCACTTAGACACCCCTTGTAACTTTTCCTTCAAGGACTCCCCCCGCTCCTGTAAGGGTTTCACTGACCAAACATACGACTAATTTAATCAAAATTAGCACATTTCCTGTCCCCTTCCCCCTCTGCCTCCTTTTCTAGGTAAGGTCTTACAACTTAGCCCAGGCTTCAAACTCGTGATCAGCTGCCCAGGTGTGTGACTTCATACCTGGCTTTTGCATAATATCTTTTGGGGTATGCAAGTAGTCCATTATAATGAATATAGATTGCACAGGTGTTGTGGCCTTATCAGAAGCATATCTCCATTTCGATGAAGCTTCTGGTGATGGGAAAGGGAACTCCTAGACCTCATCCCTACGCATATGAACCCTGCCCATCATGACTATCGTTGGGACCAAGCAAGGATCCCGGGCTCTCTGTGGAAGGTGCTGCAACAGAGGCCAGGAACTTTCCCAGCCTGTTGATGACAGTCTCTGATGTGACCGTTCGTTCACCTTTGGAACTACAGAACCCTAAGGCAGAGCTGGGGGCAGGGCTAGTCCCCGTTCTACAGGAGAGTCAAGGAAACAGCCTAGCCTGGTCCACTGGAGTAGGCATCTTACCTGGTGCACTGACTCTGACAGGGATGAAAGCTCAGCAGCCTGGGGGTGGGGCAAGGGGGAGGCATTCATTGCTATTTGGCCCTGGAGTGAGAAGCCTAAGAACTTCTGACCTATTGCTCCAGGCTGTTTCCCAACTAGGTGGCTTCCTCCAGCCATCCAGAGCATGGAAACCAGCAGCTCCGTAAGGGCCTCTGCCCTTGGGCCATAGTGCAAGGCAGGAGATGCCTCGGGCAGTTGCTTGAACTGAAAGACAGGTCTGTCAGGAAGCCACTGCCTAGCGGGTCAGGAGTGGGGCTACCTAGCCGCTAGAGAAGCCGATGTGTGTCTTGTTTCTAAGAACATAAGGTCCCAGGGTTGTGAGTGGACAGAGTCAAGTGGATATGTAGGCCACTCAAGCGAGAACAGCAAGAACTGTGCCCTGCTCCTGTACGCTTTCTATAGGCTGTGTCCTGACCAGTAGCCTAGCTTCCAGGACGGCAGACAGGGAACTTCTTTACATCTTCCTTTTTTATCTTTAGAATGATGCAACCCAGTGGACTGTGGTGGCTCGGGCCTCTTATCCCACTACCTGGGAGGCTGAAGCAAGAGGATTGCCAAATTTGAGACTAGGCTGAGCAACTTACGGAGATCCCACGACAGAAAAAAGTAAAGCAGAAGATTGGAGATTTAGGACGGTGGTAGAGTGCCTGTCTTCCATTCTTAAGGCCCTGGTATGATAACTAAAAATAAAGCAAGTAGGTATTCAATCTACCTGCCCATCATCGCCTTACACGCGGCTTTATGGCTTATGCGCCAGACTTTGTTCTGAGCACTTCACACTCGTTTTATCTCCGCAACGCCTTTTCTCAGTCTAGAACACTGACGCGGAGAGGCTAAGTCATTCATCCAAGATCACATAGCTGCAGCTCTCGAATGCAGATCATGTCCATCCTATAGACAGGCCACTGGTTCCCTGGCAGGCCCCTACGAGGGCTGCGCGGAAACGAGATCAAACCAGAGAGCAAAGGCATGGGACGGAGAGGAAACTACACGCGAGCCTCGGATTCCAGCCTTCGTGGTCTACAGGGAAGAAATGGCCGAAGAGGTTGAGGGTCCTGGCTAAGCCGAGAGGTGTGACTAGTAGGCAAAGAGACCAATGGCAATGTAGGGGGCAGGGCCTGTGGGAGAAATGCCAATGGCAGCCCGGGGGCAGAGACTGCCCTGGTATGGGCGGGGTCTGCGGGGTGCTGGCCAATAGCAGTGTGGGGGCAGAGCTTAAGACCCGGGAGGACGGCTGGGGTGGAGCCTAAGGGCGGCCGGCCTATGGCGGTGCGGGGGTGGGGCCTGAGGGCGAGCGGGTGGGTGCGCGGAGGGGGCGGCGGCAGCGGCGGTGAACAAAGAGGCGGCGGGCGCGGGCGGCCGAGCGGAGCCGAGCGCAGCCGAGCCGGGCCGAGCCGGGCCGAGCCGGGCCGGGCCGGTGCCCCTGGTAGCAGGCACGATGAGGGCAGCTGAGCAGGGGTCGGCGGGTCCCTGAGCCCCGTGCATCCGGCAGCGAGGGAAGCCCGGCGCAGCGCCCGGGGCCGCCCGCCCGCCATGGCCGGGGTCAGCTACGCGGCGCCCTGGTGGGTGAGCCTCCTGCACCGGCTGCCGCACTTCGACCTGCGGTGGGAGGCCACCAGCAGCCAATTCCGGCCCGAGGACGCCGACTACCAGCAGGTGACGCGCGCCCCTGGGTGCAGGGTCAGGAGCCCCGGGTCATGGCCCCTCCCAAGGGAATGGAGCTTCCCCATCCCCTTTCATTCTGGGGGTCGCCTCCGGTTCACTAATAACCTTTCCAGGGATTAACGTCAAACGCCCCCTGGAAGGTGTTCACCCCCTCTATGTCACCAGGGCCTCCTATCCGGATTGACAGAGCTGCCTCCCTCCCCTGATAGACCCCCCTCTGAGCCTATGGGTTTCTGGCAGGCCCATCTTTATCCTTTGGGCAGTCATCTGCTCCCCAGCAGAGCCCCCGCTAGCCGAGGCTGGATCCCTGGGTTCAGGCAGGAGGGTATTTCTCGTCCTCTTCTCCCAGCTAGGGAATCCCGTTGCCAGACTGTTGGTGGGTGAGGAGTCTGGGCCATGGCCAGCCTTCTGTGGCTGCTAATGACCCCTTGCTTCACGGTCAGGCTGTGGGATGTACACAGGGTGTCGCGTGGTTGTGGGAAACCAGGGTGCCAGCAGTCTCTCAACCCAGGGTGGAAAATGAGGCCTGGCTGAAGTGGGGTGAGTGGGCCTCCGTCTGGGCTGGGGGCCATGGGGCACTTGGCAGCCCTCTCCCCGCGAAGCCCTAAGTCTGGCGTTCTGCCAAATCCCAGCACCACCCCCACTACTGAACCACTGTCATTTGAGTGCAGAGCTGGGGGACCAGGGCTATGGGCTTTTCCTTCCTGCTCCAGATTCCAGAAAAAAAGAATGATCAGCCCACTTGGTCAGCGAGCACTTCAGAGTTTCTGTCCAGGAGCTCCTGGGACAGTAGCCTGGGAATTAAGTCCTTCCAGGGCTGTGCCAAATATCTCTGCTGCCATCCTCATCTTATTGAAGTTGGGGGTGAGAGTGCGGGGTTGTCCCTGCTCCCACTCTATGCCTACCTGAGCCCAGCTCCAGCAGCTGGTGGTGTCCCTGAGCAGATTAGAACAGGTGAGAGGGCTAGGGCAAAGGTTGAGCCTTGAGAGACAGCAAGGAGATGTAAGACCAGGACCTCACCTGGGGATTTTGGGGGAAGACCACCCCCGGTGGGGGTGGAGGGACACGTGTGGTTTTCTTATTGTGTGGTGGTATTGTTATGCTCTTTCCTGGAAGAACTGTATGAGCTATTCTTGGAAAGTTGCCTACCTAGGGTTTTCCTGATCATCAGTTTTGATGGTCCGCTGGCACCTGGGCCAGTCAGGTAGCATTTCTTGAGGTCGGTGGGCTGCCACCTGCTCCTGCTGCAGGAGGAACTTGCTGTCGCTTTTCTGGCACAGCTGTGACAGGGAGAGGGTGAGGATTCAGTCCTGCAGCTCTTGGGAATCTGAAGGTAGTGGTTCAGGCCCAGCTCTATAGGTCTTTAGAGCTATGGGGTCGCAGCTCTGTGGCCCCAGTTGAGCCTGGTCCTGCCTGCTTTTGCTGCTCCGCTGTGGGAGGCCTCTGACTCACTCTCCCTCCTGCCTCCTCTCCCAGGAGCAGAATTAGCCACTGAATAATTCACGGTGTGGAACCCAGCCTGGCTCCATCTTCCGCCGCCTCCGCTCCGAAGCCAGGGCTGTGGATGTGCATGGTGCCCCTGCCCTCTTTGAGGAGTTGGTGCTTTAGGCAACTGTTCAGTGTCTTTGAGCTTCATCACTTCATCTTGGAATTGGAGTCGATGGTTTTGCAGGGTCACCTGTGGGGAGAAAGGCAGGAGCTCCCATTCTGGGTGGGTGGGTAGTGGTTTCTCACAGGCTCCATCCCGTCTTCCCTGGTGAAGTATTGCTAACTCTGTGTGTGGTTGCGTACACATGCATGTCAGGGTAGCTGTCTTGTCCTGGGGTACCCTCTCAACAATCTACCCTGCCCATACCTGAACTATGTCCCCCTAGGGAAGAGAGCTGCTGTATCTCTCAGCATGGGGATACCAGGCTTGTCTTTCCCTCTCCTTTACACTCATGGCCCACTGTCTGGAACCTGATGGAACCCACAATTAGATTCCAGTCTAGCCCTGTGTGGAGCTGCCTGTTCCTGCCTCCTTTCACATGGGGCTGTGCAGCTGTCTGTATTGTACACACTAAGGCTTAGCCTCAATCAGGGAACACTGGGGGAGACCTTTTACCCATACCTCCTGGGGCCCACAGCAGGGGTAGACTGGCTGTTGCAAGTGTGTCTCAGACCCTGCTGCTACCTAGACTGGTGAGAAACCAGTACAGAACCAGTGTATTTATATAGAACGAGCATAGAGTGTCAGCATGCTGTGCAGCTTTTACCCAGGTGATGGTGGGAGGTTGCAAACTATAACGTTAAAATTGAGTGTCTCTCAGCATGATTGGTCCCCTCTTAGAAGCCTGTAACAGTGCTGAGTGGAAGAACCACCCAGAGCCAGTCACCTGGTGGATGCTTGTGGCATCTTCATGATGGAAGGGGCTCTGCCAGTCTGGTCCGGTTCTATACTGGTTTCTTACCAGGCAGTCCCCAGGAGCTGCTGTTTAGGCTCCGCTGGGGTTGAGCCATCCCAGCATTCCTTAGCTCCCCCATTTCACTGGGGTACCTGGATTTCAGAAGCATCTGTGTGGGTAGGTACGTTCACCTCACGGGGAGAACTGAAGTCCTAGCAGTAGACAGAACGGGACCTGTCAGACTCTAGGACCTGACATGGCCTGCAGACTGAAGTCTTGATTTTCAGTTGGTCCTGTTTCGGCTGCCTGGAGTCCCTAGTCTTGGACACCAGACCCCTCTTAGAGTAGAATATTGACACCTTCTGACCTCTTTCTGGTGTGGCGTAAATATGTACTTACTTATCCTCTGTCAGCCCTCATGAGCTGGCTTCTGTCCAATTCATGCCCTTTGCTTCCAGTCTCTCTATGTCTGGTTCACTGTCTCCATCAGTTCAAGGCAGGCCCGGAGCTGTTCGTTACGGGGAGTTGTTATTGCTAACAATGGGGTCAAGAGCAGGGGCTGTGGGGCTTGGCAATCTGAGAAGGCTTCCTGGAGGAGATATTACCTAGCCTACCATAGAGACGTGGGACTCACCAGCTGACTCACTGTGCACCAGCCCAGTCCTGGTATACAAAGGGACTGGTATCCAGATAGTTGGTAGCACCTGCCTGCTAGTTAGCCAGCCTGTGGGACCATTTCCCCTCAGTCCTGAGGCTCAGATGCCTGGTAAGACTTACAGGAAGCCAGGCATGGCATTGCAAACCTGTCATCCCAGCTACTCAGGAGGCAAGTTCAAGACCATCCAGGCCTGCACGATGAGTTCAAACCCAGCAATTTAGCAAATCCTATCTTTTAAAAGGGGGATGAAGGGTGGGGGTAGGGAAAGCAGCTTAGCACTTGCCTAGCTCTGGGTCTGATCTGCGGCAACATCAATTAAAAGGAAGGGAGGGACCTAGGCAGTGTAGTCAGGGCTTGAGAAAGAGCCCTAAATAACGGAAACAAAGTAGGCAAAGACATGAGGCAGAGAAGCCCAGGTGTGTCAGCTCAGAGACCCTCTGTCCACATGGCACAGGGGAACATGCTGTCTAGGAGGCGCTGGGCGCCCTGTGTCACAGGCCACTATTTAGGCTGTGGTTGAGTAGTCCCTGGGACCAGGGATCAGAGCTTGCAGCTGGCTCATAAGAGCTGGGCCCCTCGGTATACAAGGTCAGCAGTGTGGCAGGCAGGTTGGCAGCTTGGCTGTGTCCTCTGGGCAGGGCTGGCTTCATTGTCATCCTCCTGACTACTCAGGAAATGAGCTGTGTCTGGAAAGGCAGCCTTATCGCCTGCTTCCAGCTTACACAGGCAGTGCGCATCTGTGGGACACTCTGCTGGGGGACCATGTGAAGATAAAGGGGCCACCCAGCTGGAGTCCGTCCATGTGTTTGCATTTTTGGGATGGCGCCACTTGAAACCAGAGTTATATTGCATGCTGCCATGTTTCTTTCATCTTTTTCTTCCTCCCCCACCCCAGTGCTAGAGATCAAACTCAGAGCCTCGTGCGTGCTAGGCACATGTCTGCCACTGAGGCACTCCCTAAGCTTTGTCTGGTTTTTAAAAATTGTTTGCTTTGTTTTTGAATGTGTGTGTAGTGTGGTATGTGTAGTGTGTGTGTGGTGTGTGTGTGTGTGTGTGTATGTGTGTGTGTGTAGTGTGGTGTGTGGTATGTGTGGTGTGTGTGTGTATGTGTGTGTATAGTGGTGTGTGTGTGTGTATGATATGTATGTGTGCATGCTCAGTGTGTGTGTACATTCCTGTCCTTGTGCCTTGTTTGAGGTAGGAGTCTCTTGTTGTTTGCCCATGCATGTGCCAGGCTAGTAGCTGGCAAGCTTCTAGAGATTCTCCTGTCTCTGCCTCCCGTCTCACAATCCACAGGAGTGCTAGGATTTCAGATGCACACTACCTAATTCAACATTATCTCGGTTCTGGATATCTGAACTCAAGTTGTTTTTCAGAAGTGTTGCACCCACTGAGCCATCATCTCATGTAAGGGCTGGCTTTGAACCCCGGATGTTAAAGATGAGTTTGTCTCTACTGCATCAGTACCCCACGATACTCCACCCCGTCTGGAGCTAAGTGGAGGCTTCTAGAGTTACCTCTGGGTGGAAATGATGACACAAGGAGCAGGGCCCTGTAGACAGAACCCAGACGTCACACATCCTAGGCAAGTGCTCTACCAACTCAGCTACATCTCCAGCCTTTGGATTCTCAGTACTTCTGGGTGCTTCCCAGCGTCTCACAGTGCTGACCAGAGCTCTGAGGTTGCAAGTGGGAGATGGCCCTACACAGAACCCTTCTACACCGCCACTCTGCTCTCACCACAAGACTAGAGCTCGGTGGAAGCGCCTCAAGCCATCCCTGGGTAGGAGATGGTAGTACAAGGAACCAGGGCCCTGTTTTAAGGGAGGCAGGCAAGTCCCTACCAGACTTGCTCAGCTGTGCATGCTTGTGCATTATGGGTAATTACTGAGTCCCAGGAGAGTATCATGGACCAAGTCTGAGTCAATAGTTACTTATGGCCAGGGATG